GCTCTACAGAAAACAGACAGATAATTTCATGAACAGCATAGGTGATGTTGGTGTCAAGTCAGCTGCAGAAGTGCCTCCTGCTTGGGGTCCCCAGAGAGAGCAGAGTCACCTACCTTGGAGTTCAGGAGCTCACTGAGGCGAGGAGGCTGTTTGCAGAGCAGGTGGGGAGGAGCATGTTTGCAGAGCTGATGAAGTCCAGTCCCCTGCAGATGTTTGCCATGAGGCATTTGTTGGATGGAATCATTCTGCAGGAGGTCAGCGGAGCTCCAAAGCTCAAATAACAGATATGTTCAGCTGGACAGAGATTAAGGGGAAAACGTATTGAAGGAAAATCCAGTATTCATTTATCATCCTTAATGATGAGTCTGATTTGTATCAGCCACACCAAGGCCTGAAAAATCCTCCAAAAAGGGGAGAGTTGAACCCTGAATCATTATAGCATTCACCCCAATACCTTACGTACAGTCCCCTAAACCATCAGTTTCAACAATTGAATGCTAATACTACTAATAATAGCTCAATTATTTTACATTTTTGTATGTTAGGTGTCTAACACTTTTCATGTGCTCAAAGTAAACCATGATGCTATGAAGTCATGGGAAAATTTTTTAATGTATACTTAAAAAAAAATAAGGAATTACATAGTTACATTGCTGATGTTTGGTTTGCGATCAGTTTGATCCTTACACATTTTGTTCTGTATGGTTTTAGAACCCATTCTTTAATGTATGTACGTCCCTGACACACATATTGATATTTTACATTGCTCCCTTGCATGGATCATTCTCATATTTGTTTCAAATTAGCAACACCAATTTGAATGCTGGTTTTCTATTTTGAAATTCTCATCACCTACCTTATTTATTGGGACCTAGAAGAAGTTTCAATCATGTATTTGGGATGATACTTTTGAAAAGCCACTCATCAAAGTCAAAACTTTGGTGTGGTTTTCCTGTGTATTTCTGCTGTATATCATAGTAAATTCAGTGTAGTGAGAAGTTGTGTAAATGAACATGACATGCCAATTTGTAATAATTTTGGTCATTATAATACTATATATTCCAATAATTAGTTCCTATTGTAATTCCATCTCTCTACCTTTAGTAGATGTTTCCCTTAGTTTTAGACATCTCATAATTTTTTCTAAGTTTTTAGACCATATTAGATAATTCAGTAGTATGCATCTTTGAAGTTTTAAACTTGGTCCAACAGCCATGGTGGATATAAGTGTAGACTCTGGAGACAGATTGAACCTAAGGGTTAACTTCCCATCCTACCAGGTCTCAGCCAAACCTCACCATGTGGTTTCATCTCTCTGTGCCTCAGTTTCCCATCTGTAAGTAAGAATGATGTTTACCCTCTGCCCAGTTGTTGGAGGAAACATGGGTCCACACCGTTACACAGAACTGACCACAGTACTCACCTGCAAGGAGCTGGCTGGCCAGGGCAAGGGCCTGTGCCCACTGCCCTAGGTGCAGTCCCTTTGTCTGATATTGTGGATTTCAGCCTTGGTAATGGTGATGATAGCATCTCCTTTATTTAACATTTTCTCTGATCTCCCTCATTTCAACCAGGATTCCATGGGGCCATGATTCTCTTGACAACTTTGGCCCTGTGGTGTGGAGAGCTCTGTTACTTTGTTCCATGCCAAGGACTATCCAAGGATGGGACCTGAACTCAGTTCTCTAACTCAGAAGCTAAGCTGTACATGAGTTGATGACATTTCCCTGAAAAAGGCCAAAGTCCAAGACAGACAAGAACCTAATAACTTTTTAAAACTCGGCTCCACCCTCTCTTTTTTCTCATACTGAGATTTGCCTTCCTGCTTCCTTCTAATTGAACTTCACACCCTATTTCACATTTTTATACCTTTATTTTATTTATATATTTTTATGTGGTGCTGAGGATAGAACCCAGTGCCTCATACATGCTAGCCAAGTGCTGTACCACTGAGCCCCAACCCCAGCCCCTATTTTCACGTTTTGATCCCTCTTCTATTCTTCAGTTTGGGGTCTGCTCTTTGGTAGGGTTTGTCTTAAACTCCTTCTGTCATATTATATAGTCTCTTAATTTATGATCCTTTGAGTGTTCGTGTGAAGGCACTCAGATTGTTCCATCACTGTTCCTCCTAACACACACACACACACACACACACACACACACACACCAGTAACAAATTTCTTTAGACTTCAGTGTTATTTCCTGGTCTTTACCACTCTGTCCTCCTTTCCTGTTAACCATTGTGGATAATGTATTAGTAATGAATACTTCTTTAAAGATGAGGGCTTTTTTCTGAAAACCATTTTCAGCAAGATTGAACATTAATATTTAGTTTCCTGAGCCAAAAAAAATCCACTTCTCTGAAAAAAAGTCAGGTATGCTCAGTTTTCTCCTTTTGCCCTTGGTTTTCTGGCCAACTTATCACAGCTGTTTTTTAAAATATTTTTAATTGTAGGTGGACATAGTACCTTTATTTTATTTATTGATTTTTATGTGGTGCTGAGGATCAAACCCAGTGCCTCACATGTGCTAGGCAAGTGCGGTACCTCTGAGCTACAACTCCGCCCTACACAACTCTAATAGAAAGTGAAATTCTGTTTACGTCTGTTCATTTGCCTAGATTTTAGATCATAGCCATAACATAAAGCACGTTGTATAAAATTGTTAAAATGTGAATTTTAATTAGACATCTTAGTAGTATTTTGGAGAAATTATAAATACTTAAGAAATTGCTTAGAGACATAAAGCAGATTTTCTGATTATGTATGTAATATAAATTAATCTGATCTAATTATTTTCGAAACTTATATATCAGAACAGCCTTCACCATCTCAAAATACTTCTTTTATGAATATACTCACTTTCATTTAGAAAACTTTTCTTAAATATTTTTTTAGTTTTTATTGTGTCACTTTATCATGTAACCTAATTTTTGATTATTATAAGATCGAGTATTAAAAGACACTTTTTAAAATTATTTTTTTGTTTTAATTAGAATTTGTTTTAATTAAAATTTGTTTTAATTTTGTTTTAATTGGTTATACATGAGAATAGAATGCATTTATGTACTTTGATATGTCATACATAGATGGGATATTATTTCTCATTTTTTTGAGTGTACATGTTGTAGAATCATATTGGTCATATAGTCACGTATAAACATACATAAAGTAATAATGTCTGTTTCATTCTACTACCTTTCCTATCCTCCCCTTCCCTCCCCTCCCCTCCCCTCCCCTTCCCTCGCCTCCCCTTCCCTCCCCTCCCCTCCCTTCTCTTCCCTCTGCCTAATCTAAGGTAACACTATTCTTCTCTAGTTTCCCCCCACCAGCACTTTATTGTGAATTAGCATACACATAATAGAGAAAACACATGTCCTTTGGTTTTGTGGGATTGGCTTATTTCGCTTAGCATGATATTCTCCAACTCCATCCATTTACTGGTAAATGCCATAATTTCTCTCTTCTTAAAAGCTGGGTAAGATTCCACTGAGTATATATACCACATTTTCTGTATCCGTTCTTCTATTGAAGGGCACCTACATTGGTTCCGTAGTTTGGCTATTGTGAATTGAGCTGCTATAAACGTTGACATGGCTGCATTACTGTAGTATGCTGATCTGCTGGTGGGACTGAAAATTGGTGCAACCACTATGGAAAGCAGCCTGGAGATTCCCTATAAAACTTGGAATGGAACACCATTTGACCCAGCTATCCCACTCCTCGGTTTATTCCCAAAGGACTGAAAGTAGCTTTTAAAAGAGATTGAGGAGGACTGGGATGTTGCTAAGCAGTAGAGTGTGTGCCCAGCCTTTCCTTAGCCTCTTTTAATGGTTACTTTCTCAACGCGACGCGTCTTTTGTGTATGGTATGGTATATATTGCCTAATGTGAGACAGGATAAAATAAGCTCTGAGGCGTGCTCAAGAAGTCAGAGTTGTGGAGTGGGATTTATAACTAGAATCTAATTCCACTTAGAGGGTTGTGGTACCAATGGTCACATTTAGACACTGGCTATAATCTGAGGATATTCTGATTCATAGTGCTGGAAAGCATGTGTGCTGATACTGATCACAGGTGTCAGCTGTTGGAGCAGTAAATCACTGTCACGTTGTATTGGTCCGAAAGTGGTATTTTCATTATATATATGTATCAATTAAACTTTAGAGGTTAAAAATATTGAGAACCAGATAAAAATAATCACATAAACGATCTAAAAAGAGCTTAGGAAGCAAACTAAAAAATGAGATTCCGTTTGGCAATCATCAAACTGACTTTAGTAGCTGGTGTAAAGTCCTCTTCTGAAAAGCTGAGTCTGCCCATCATTCTGTCTGCCTTTTGGTTGGGATGACGTCCCCCATGTCTGCACACCTACCTTACACCATAGGCATTTGTTCCTACACAGCTCTACTTGAGAAAGAAGCCTGCAAACATCTGTAGGAGTTACTTGACAGAAACTAGCGCAGCCCTGCACAGCGCTGCACATAGTGCTTATGGAAATGCAAGCCTACCTCTCCCCCCAGCACCCCACTCACACATCCTCCTCTCTTCCTTATTTTCCTCTCTTCAGGAAAATTAATTCATTTCTGAATTTGTCCCAAGCCTTTAATGATACTAATGCAAGGTGACCTGAGTGACCCCATCCCAAATGACCTCAACTTCAGTAGTGAGGCCATAGCTGTCCTTCCTCACAGTGTTCCCTAGACTTCTGCTTAGTTCACATTTCAGTTGGATGCTCCTACCCTTGGATGTGGGTTAGCAATATACACGTGACAGGTGGATCCCTGCCCTGTTCCTGTAGGGTGTGTTTCTGAAGTAGCATGCTGATTACATTTGACTGGATAATATTGAATATGTGGTTCAGATATGACAGATTAACTATTTTTATTCTTTCGAACCCCTATTTTTTATGTGTGTAATGTTCCCCCCTGCCTAGACCTGGTTAACCGTTTCTGTGAGCAGGTCCTCAATTTTTTACTTTGTCCCTACTTTCCTGTCCTAGCCCCATCCTCCCCCGGTGTCGACTCCGTCCCCTTGCAGCGCACAGGCAGTCAGCACGGGCCACAGAGTGCCACAGCAGCCACCTTCCAGAGGGCCAGCTACGCCGCAGGCCCAGCCGCCAACTACGCAGACCCCTACCGACAGCTGCAGTATTGTCCCTCTGTTGAGTCTCCTTACAGCAAATCCGGCCCTGCCCTCCCGCCCGAAGGCACCTTGGCCAGGTCCCCGTCCATCGACAGCATTCAGAAAGACCCCAGGTGGGTAAAACCCTTTTTCTCATACCTGTGATGTTGGAAACGGTTTTATAACTGGGTGTTGATTCAACCGTATTATAATATTTTTATGTCACTTCAGCATTTACGTCACTGGCTAAGTATGAGACAGTTGGCTTTACTTGGATTTTGTACTTTTATTTAATATGGGACATGAGAATTCACAGTGGATTCCTAGTATGTTGTGATTCCATATCATGAAATGATGGTCGATCATTGAGCTGTATGCAGTGGTGCACCCATGTAGTCCTATCGACTCGAGTGGCTGAGGCAGGAGAATCACTTGAGCCCAGGAGTTTGAGACCAGTCTGGGCAACACAGCAAGACGCTATCTCAAAACAGAACACAAATGGAGATCTCTTGATGGGAACAGCTTTAGGGGCTTGAGGTTTCAGCCATTTGGTAAGATCTAGAGGAGCTCCTGGTGATGCAGTAGAAACTGAGGCTTGGAGAGCAGAGGTTGTGTCACTTGGCTTCCAGTGCCATGGTCTAAGAGGTATGCTTTTGTCTCTGTGGGAGCATCCTTTGTCACCTTTTGTCTTTCCACTTATCACAGTGTCAAGATAGCTCCTCCCAAGTTATCGTAAAAATTATAAATTTGGAAATTCCCTGTGAACTTCATTGGTCTATGTTTGAAAATAAATGCTAGGATGAACTAATTTGGGGATTAACCAAAGCTTGGAACACAGTATATTAAAGAAATTGTTGTTATGAAGTGTGTCTCTTTTTTTACTTTCTTTTTTCCAACAGCAGCAAAGGATTTAGTGATGCTTTACTTTTGAGGTTCCAATTGACTCCCTGTAGAGTTAAATGATGTTTTATTCATAGCCATTGGCTTTATGCAGATAGAGTCCCACAAATACATATCTGCATCTGCAAGTACTACAGAAATGTCAAATTTCTGGAATATCTTTATGGAAGGGCATGTAGCTTGACTCTGGTGGGAAACTTAAATTTTGTCTTAAGGAATTTTTACTTACAGAGAACACAGATTTCTGTGTATTACATTGAGAAGTTTGCGTACGTTCTTTAGCAAGAAGAAATCAGGGGCTGGGGATGTGGCTCAAGCGGTAGCGCGTTCGCCTGGCGTGCGTGCGGCCCCGGGTTCGATCCTCAGCACCACATACAGACGGGGATGTTGTGTCCGCCGATAACTAAAAAAAAATAAATATTAAAATTATCTGTCTCTCTCTCTCTCTCTCTAAAAAAAAAAAAAGAAGAAGAAATCAATTTTACAAACATAAAAAGCAGAATGTTATAGTTTATGTATTCTCTGAGATAGATACTTTAGTATAGATCAAACCCACTTGTAGTATCCTTGCTAAATACCATATTTGGTCTAACCTCCATTATAAAATTCAATTGTAATAAATCCTTACTCTTAAGGACTACAAATTAGAAATATACTTGCATCAACAATGCTCACTGTCCTGGTTTTCTAGATTTTCAGTGTCAGTAACGGTCTCTATAGTCTTGGTCCTGAAATCTGCCCTAAATGTTTAAGTATTCTTAATTATGTTTCATTAGAATATTCTTTGAAAAATACTTCTGCACTCTCTATTTTCACATAATTTTTTCTCAATATGCAACTGAAAATATGTGGAAATACAACAATAGTAAGCCATTAAGAAGTCTGAAACAGAAAAATATATTCTTGAATTGGCTGGCTTGTATTTAACATTGTATATTTCAATGGAGAATAAATATTTTATCTCTAATTAAAAAGCTTTACATTTTCATATTAAGAACATTTGGATTATGAGAGACAAAACTTTTATTTCTCTAGCTGCAAGTTTGCGTCTGTTTTATACTGTGTATTAAATGCATTTTATTTTATTAAATGGCATATCCTTTTTATTTTATATTACTGTCACTTTTATAGGCTTTTTTCTTCTTTTGCTGTATCGGCATAGCTCTTACCTTTTCGAGTTATGGATTATGTCACTTATATTTATTGAGTGCTTGCTATAAACCAGAAACAGTAACACCAACAAGAAATGTTAGAGTGAATCTGAGAATCTTTTGTGTGTGTTAAGTTTATATGCAAATCAGTGCTACAAGAATTACAAGTTCAACATTATTTTTAAGAATGCTAAATCTTGGCCTTAAAAATGTATGAATTCTGAAAAACACATACCACCATCCTAAGCTTAGGCATTCAGACAAAATAGAGCCACATCTAGAGCTGCAATTGGATTGTTGTGGCTCAATATAGAAGTGAATAAATCTGACTTTATACAAAATGGAGCATAAAGTATAATAATGTCTTGTAGTTTTTTTTTAAACAAAGGAACATGTCAAAATTTTCTTAGTGGAAACACATGCCAAATCTAATGTTCAAATCTGAAATGTAATTCTTCTTTTAATAAAATTGTTGTGCTTTTTCCTTTAAAATGAATTTTTATTCTTCATAAGCAAATATTGCCTTAACTTCTAATTCTTAAAATTATTTACCTTTACTTACTTTGCATGATGACTTAAGATCTAGATTTTTTCAGCCTTTTGACTTTTTGCACACATTTATACATACATGTACCTAGGAGAGTGTGTTAGAAGTTTGACATATCATTAAACAACAAGCCACAAGCCACATAAGCCTCTTTACCATTACAAACACAGGTTTATAATAGTCTGTTTTCTTACTTCTTTGAAGTACTCCTCCTTTGTGAGAGGAAACTGGTGTCCCCCATGCTGTCCCTTAAATAAGAGGTGTGATGTGACTTTGGGGTGGTCACCTTGAAGCTGGAGGGCACATGGGCCAGTCACTCCACTCTGCAGCCTGTGTTGGCTTGAGTGTTTTGTTTCTTTACCAAAACTAAAAGGGAAAGGGAAATGCTGTATTAAGGTCTGTTGTGATTTTCTGAGGAGGGATGAATGGCTGAGCCGGGTGTGTGGGTGAGAAGCTGGGAAGAGTGAGCAGCACTAACGCCTCCCTAGAGGCGTGTCTCTGCTGGGTGGTTTAGTTCTTTTCCAGTGCACGGCTTGTCTGTCTTATTAAAGACCAGTATCTTTTCTCTATTAAGGAGCTATAATATTATTCAGTCAGAAGTTTTCAAGTAAATTTGGCATTTTAAAATAAGAATTTGGAGTCAGGAGAGCCTCTGTTCATTCGTTTGGACTTTAAGCCAGAGACAACCTGTCAGCTTTGAGTTAGTCTGAGTCACAGGATGGAAGGATTGTTGCAAGGTTGGATTTTTCTTGTTGATGGTTGGCTCATGAGGATTTGAGGCAGAACTTTGGTCTTCTGTGCTGTTAACTGCCCTATCATACACACCAACAAAGAGGGCACACAGAAGCATTTTACCGAAGAGGAGGTAAATCCAGCTTCTCTTTTAAGGTTGGCAATCACTGGGAAAATAGTTTTTTATACATATAAAATTAACTTTACAGGTGTGTTTTGATTTTAAGAAGCCTTTATTTTGTAATGGCATGCCATCTTGCATCAAACATGACTTCCCTAAGGACTATTAACATAGCGAATACGTTTTTGGATGTGTGCCCAATATCGAGTCCTATTTGTTCCTATTTCTGAACATGTGAGTCAGATATAAATTCTGAATTAAATTATGTGGAAGCGGTATCAGTGACATCAGGAGTGGTGAGTCTTATAATAACATTCTTATTTTGAAATTCTAATTAATGAAGTAACTAGAACAACATAAAGCAAGACTGATATTCAAAGATACTTTGGATGTAATAAGTGTTCTCATCTACAAAAGAAGAGAAGTGTTGGCCAAGACAGTTCACCAATATAATGCATAAATTATAGCAATCACAGCATACTTTTAATATGTTTGGTAAATCCCTTTTCAGGGTGATGTATGTCTTGAAGGATGTACACTATCTCAAAAGCAATTTTCAAACATGCCATAAGAAATCTCAATTGATGTGAATGTGATTTACAATAAAACTTTTCTTTTTGTTATTCATCAAAACAGAAAAAAATGCATAAAATGGCATATTTTTAATACAGCTATTGGACCCAAATTAGCAACTGCATTTTCAATTGGCTTTTCAAATTTATTCTCCATGGAGTTGTTTAAGCCACAGAGTTGATCCATAATATAAAAGAAGGAACTTCTAAAGAATTATATGTATATTCCTACTTTATTTCCTATTTTGAGGTATTACTGAAAGTTATTTTGACATTATATTATTGGATCTCAATTAATAATATCACTTCTAAATATTATATTATTATGTAAACCTCAGTAGGAAAAATGATTTTCAAATACTGTTTTATTTTATATTTTAACAGTTTACAGCTCACACACACCTAATATGTAGTGAACTGAATGTTCAGGAAGCAAAATATGGTTTTATATGCTTTTTGAAAGGTGAAGGTTGAAAAATAGTTTTTAAATGTTAAGGTTTAAACACCATTGCTATGCAATTGAAGCTATCACGTAGCTTCAGTAACATTGCTGAAGTGTTTGCTGTAAAACACAAATAATATTTTTCATAGTCCAGTTCACGTGGGTGATGAGTCTCCGGGGAGCTGGCTTTTAACTTCAGATGTGCAATACTCGTTTATTTAACTGGAACGTCAGAGGGAAGCACAGGATTCACAGTGACAAGAAAGAACCTCTGAGCTTGAAGAGCACCAGGAAGGCACTTACTCCCTGGGCCCAGAGCAAGCCCACCACCCTATGGGAATGCTGCTGGCAGGTGGCCGCACGCTTCCTGGAAGTAAAATAAACTGGCCACTCACCTCCTCTTGACTAAGTTCACAATTTTTCTTTGAGTCGTTCAGATCTCCAACTCTAATTTATATAGATCCAAAATCTGCATCTCTTGTAAGCTCATCCCTGATCTTGTCTCTGCCCTTTGAAGTCACATGAGAATGTGCCTATTCCTTCTCTAGGAATGAACTTCGATGGCAGTTACAGAAGGTCCCACCAGGGGCGAGGACTCCTGTCCCTGTCCCTGTCCCTGTGCAAGCTCCCCTCATCCCAGGAGCTCCCAGGTCACCCTGCAGGGGCCGC